AGTTAGTAGCATCCCTGGCCTGTCCCACTAGATGCCAGTAATGTCTCCCCCAGTCATCCCCAGACCACCACAAATGTCTCCAGACATTGTCAAGTGTCCTCTGGGGGAAATTTCCCCTGATTGAGAACCTCTGTCCTAGATTATAATAACCCATTTTGCCCAGATACACTGGGACAGGTATTGCCATAGGCAGAACCAGAGAAGGTTGTCCTGTTGTACAATCAGATGTAGTTATTTTTGCCTTTAAGGTTATATATAATGGTAAAAACATTGGCTGGCTTTTGAATTTTTCTATTCAGACTTGACTAATTTATTGTGTGTTTTTACAAAAATATTTATGTAAGTAATCTCTACATCCAACATGGGGCTCAAACTTATGACTCCAATGTCAAGAGTGGTATACTCTTCCAACTGAACCATTCAGACGCCTCTTATGTGTGATTTTTATCCTATGGGAGAAGTCTATGGATACTATAACTTCTCTTATAAACTAGATAGTTCTTTTGTTTTTGTTTTTTTATGTAGTTTTCTGTGACAGAGAATGCAAAGTTATTGAATCTAACTTTGGATCCGTTTCAGAGGTGGAATCTTTCAAGTCTGTTCATAGTCCCCATATAGATTATCAAAAGTATATAACCTAGGGAACAGAAAGTGCAGAGATTTATGTTAGGCTATTTGTTCATTCCTTGAGGACTAAGAAATGAAATGTGGCTAATTCATCATTGTCTTGTCTCCAGTACCTGGCATACAGTGAGAGTACAATAAATATTTGTTGAAGCAGATCTTGAATACTTTGGTCAATGTGTGGTTTTTAGCTTTTTGGGCCTAAGGCTTCTCTAACTATAAATCAGAATAGATAAGTACCATTTTTTCCTGCTCAACTTCTAGGGGCTTTATAAGGATGAATTAAGTAATAAATTTTCAATGAGACTAATCTACTGAGCTTATACTGTCTAAGTGCTTCACAAGAGGCCAAACTTACAGTCTCATTGCTGGAACATGTCTCTCAGAATGATTTATAGGCTCTGACTTTCCACACTCAGTGGCAGCAGCTGCCACTGTTACAGTATGATCTGCAGGACTGACGTGTATATTCTTTGACTAGTCCAGACAGGATCTTTTTTGTGGCTTTCAAATTCCAAAGCCTACTCTTTCCTTATATTGGTCTTTATATTTGCACTTGTTCTGGTATACTTCGAGTACGCCCACAGCTGGAGGCTCTGTGCTCTGGAACTCTTCATTTAGTCATAGGCTGGGTAACCATCCCAGAGAGGAATCTGAGAATTTCCATAATAGGAATGAACATGGTCAAGAAAGACACTAAGACAGTCTTCTGGCTTTTAATTACAGTGAGATTAGTCTTTCTACACAAATGGACCCAGAAACTGTGCCAGAGAGCCTATACTTCCTTTTAGACTAGCCTAGGTTCACTAGGTACTTCTTCAGCCTCAAAATGAAATTGACATTTCAGAAAATTGGACTCTGGAAATATAGGGTGTGAAATAGGCTGAGCCTACTTTGTGTCTCCCCTGTGCTCACCGCTGTCATTGATGAAAAAAGATGAATTCTTTTTTTTTTCATTGTAGATGAATTCTAATCATGGAGCTATTGGAGATCATTTTGTATAACCCTCCTTTTATAGACAAGAAAGAAAACTGAATCTCAGAGACACTGGGGACATAAGACATATACATGTTTGTAGCTGAGCCAAGACTAGAACCCAGATTTTTGAGTTGTCAGTAGAGACAACTGAGAAGCAGTAGAGACTGGCTTCTGCATAATATTTTTCTGTCATGTTTAGTTTCTTGGTCTGTCACTAATTCATAGGTGAGTGGAGACAAGTTCCTTTTTCCTGTCTCCTACTGAACCCTTATGTCATGCCTCCTCCTCCCCCTATCTTTTAAATTAAGAAAATAGATATTTACTGAGCATCTGCTGTGTGTCAGATGCTATGGTAGACATATGACTGCCAGATAATAATAACCTCTTTGAGTTTTTTTTAAGTTTTTTTAAAATTTATTTAAAATAAATTTAATAATAAAATAATTTTAAAAATTTATTTTAAAAAATAAATTTAATAATAAATTTAATTTTTTAAAATTTATTTATCCCTATACCCAACGTGGGGTTCAAACTCCTAACTCTGAGATCAAGAGTCACACATCCTTCTGAATGAGCCAGCCAGAGGCCCCAGGATTTTCATTTAAAGTCCTATATATGGGGTCCTTGGGTGGCTCAGTCGGTTAAGCATCTGCCTTTGACTCAGGTCATGATTTCAGGGTCCTGGGATCCAGCCCCACATCCAGTCTGGCTCTATGTTCAGTGGGGAGTCTGCTTCTCTCTCTCTCCCTCTGTCTTCCCCCCAGCTTGTGTTCTCTCTCTAATAAATAAACAAAATCTTAAAACTAAATAAATAATAAATAAATAAAGCCCTATATACAATCTGTCTTCCCTACTTTTGGCCAAAAATACAGTTTGTTTATTTCTAGTATAATCTTTTTATTATTCAAGTTTAATAATTTCTGTCATCAGATAAAGTGGCTTAAGTGACGTCAGATTGGCTGAGCATCAACAGAAACAATTAGCCCAAATATAGCTAATTTTTTTTTTTAAACCAGCCCACCTTATAGTCTTAAAGTATGCTGAGGAATCTTGCAGTAAGATAGCACTCTTGGGACGCCCAGGTGGCTCAGTGGTTGAGCATCTGCCTTCGGCCCGGGGTGTGATCCTGGAGTACTGGGATCAAGTCCCACATTGGGCTCCCTGCATGGAGCCTGCTTCTCCCTGTGTCTCTGCCTCTTTCTTTCTCTGTGTCTCTCGTGAATAAATAAATAAAATCTTTTAAAAAAAAAAATAAATAAAATAGCACTCTTTCCTCTGGAGGCCGCCTGAACCCAAGGGGTCTCCTCATTGCTATCACCATCATACTTGGATTTTTTGTTTTTCCTTGTCTCCCTGAAGGCTGACTGGGTACATTCTGTCTCTCCGGTTTCCGACTCCCCTCTGCATACTCAGTGAGCCAATCTCAACAGGGTTAAAAAAGAAGGCCAATTTTCCACCTGCTAGCTCTTCTGGCACACACTTGTAAGGCAGCACTCGGCTTTTGTTCCCTTTCTTTCACAATTCCTTATATGGTTCTTGCCCTAGATTGTGAAAGTCCAGCAGAGCTCAGGCTTCTAGGAAGTAAGTCTTTCAGGCTAACAGGTATATGTGGCCTGGAAATGGACAGTGTGGTAATTTTTAAATCTCCTTTTGCTTTGGTCTTACCTAAGGCTTGGCCTTATAATTCCTGTCTTTTGCTGAAAATGGGATGCCGAAGGAAAGGGAAAGTATGAAAAAGTTTTCTCAAAAGAGCTGAGCATTGGAGGGTCTGAGCACTGGGATCACTTACACAGGTCTTTCTTTTAAACTTGATAGATGGCAAGGTCCCCAAAATCATGAGAACGAAATCATCCTAACTCATCCCCTGGAGAGAAGAGCTGACTTGTAACCTGTGAGTCCAACAAAATGGCCTTGAATACGTGGCCTGGCCTCAGACATTACATCATCACTCAGCTTTCTGTGTTGACATTATATGGGTATAGCAGAGGTGCAGGCATTCACCAGTAAGTGTGCTCTGGGCCAGTGAAGCACCCTATAAAGTTCTAACTTTGCTCTTTTTTATAACTCCGTGCAGCTTTGATTAAGCTCACTGGGGGTGTGGCATGCCATATGTTCTTTATCTGAAATAAAGGTACACGCTTGGGATCTATCCTTTGACTTGCTTTGTGACTTGAGGCAATATTTTCTTCTCTTCGTCTTTCTTTTGTATCTTGTATATTTTTAGCCTTTTAGCTTCTGAAGCACTTTCATTTCATGTTGAATCCTCCCAGTGACAGACTTCACTCCTATGAGAAGCTGAGGCCTAGAGTGTTTGAAACAGCAGATATCATCAGTCACAGAAGGAGGACCAGACTTAGTCTCTTGCCTGTGATCATGCTCTCTTCTCTTCCTCATAGACATGCTGCCACCTGGGTTCTACAGAGCAAGTTTTAGTAGCATCTTCCATGGGTTAAGGAGGAAAAGGAATTCCTTGTAGTATATTTTATTTAGGTGAATTATTTAGAAGACTTACTTTATAGAGAGAAGTTAGTATGAAAATAACTTATTAGGGGCGGTGGGCAGGGCCTGGGCAGGGAGGTGCCCACCCCTGCGTGTGAGTGCGGGTGCCGCGGTAGGGCCAGTGAAGCCAACGGCCCTGGCACGTGATCTGGGAGTGGCTCGGTCGCTTGGTGGCTCAGTCTGTCTGTCCGTCCGCCATCATGGCGGACGCAGCCAGTCAGGTGCTCCTGGGCTCTGGCCTCAGCATCCTATCCCAGCCGCTCATGTATGTGAAGGTGCTCATCCAGGTGGGATATGAGCCTCTTCCTCCAACAATAGGACGAAATATTTTTTGGGTGTGGGACACCTGGGTGGCTCAGCGGTTGAGCGTCTGCCTTTGGCTCAGGGCGTGATCCCAGAGACCTGGGATCAAGTCCCATGTCGGGCTTCCTGGATGGAGCCTGCTTCTCCCTCTGCCTGTGTCTCTGCCTTTCTCTCTGTGTGTGTCTCTCATGAATAAATAAATAAAATCTTAAAAAAATATATATTTTTTTGGGTGGCAAGTATATCAGCTTCCTGGTCGTTTTGTTATGCTCAGCACATTGCAAGCATCGATGGGAAGCATGGGTTGTTCACAGGCTTAATTCCCAAGACTGTGTTCAGGTGTCCTTGGAACTGTGGTCCATGGTAAAGTTTTATAGCATTACCAGGAATGTGACAAGGTTGAGGATTTAGGCTCTGGAAATGTACAGAAAGAAGTCACACCTTCCTTCGACCAAGTTATCAAGGAGACAACTTGAAAAATGATGGCCAGTTCTGCTGCTACCCTCATCACACATCCCTTCTACGGGCTGTCAAAATTTATCTCAATGTAGTTTTAAAAATCTTTACTCTCTTCTGCAGTGATCACACTGAGATCTATGGTACAATTCATTGGCAGAGAATCCAAGTATTGTGGACTTTATGACTCCATAGTAACCATCTATCGCAAAGAGGGCATCCTAGGACTTTTTGCAGGTCTTATTCCTTGTCCCCTAGGTGAGATCATTTCTTTGTGGCTCTGTAACTCACTGGCCTACCTCGTCAGTACCTATGCACTGGACAGTGGGGTTTCTACCATGAGTGAAATGAGTTATTCCCAAGCTGTCACAGGATTTTTTGCCAGTATGTTGACCTATCCCTTTGTGCTTGTCTCTAATATTATGGCTGTCAACAACTGTGGGCTTGCTGGTGAATCCCCTCCTTACTCCCCAATGTATACTTCTTGGATAGATTGCTGGTACATGCTACAAAAAGAGGAAAATATGAGCTGAGGAAATAGCTTGTTTTTCTGGAAGGTCCCTTTTGGGAAGACTTATTGTTGTGACCTGAGAATGTTAATTTGAAGATGTGGGGCAGGGACAGTGACATTTCTATAGTCCCAGATACACAGAATTATGGGAGAGAATGTTGATTTCTATACTGTGTGGTGCGCTTTTTTAAATTATCATTTAATCTTGGGGAAAAAAGAAAATAACTTATTAAATCAGCCATGTGTATAACCCTTTTTGAATCCCGAGCCTCTCTGAAAATCTAAAAGCTATGAACAATTATTTCAGGAAGATGTACATACGCACCTCATTTTGTATATGAAATTAAAGAGTTCAGGGAATTCCTGAAACCTAGAGGTTTTGGGTGTTAGCAATCCTGGACTAAGATTTTAACCCATGGATTAGATCTTTTAGTCCATTTACTGATGCAAAGCCTAAAAAGGTTTTGGAGTATAGCAGGTCTGCTACATATGATCTAGTTTATAAATGTTTAGCTGAGAAGGAACACAGGTGAGCTGATTTCTTCTTAGGAACAAAAGGAATTGATGTGATCTGGTGACACAACATATGACAGTTCTCCTTTAATGTATAGTTCCTGCCTTGGAGGCTGGGCTGTACTTGGAAATTGCTGGTAGATATTCATGAAGAGAACAGAGTATAATATTTCCTGCTCTACCTGCCCTATCCTCCTTAGAGATTTTACTTTGAGTACCTTTGCCTCTTTTTCAAGTATTTTCAAACTTTGGAGAAAAAGGAAAGTAATGTATCTTCCTGTGAATATTTGGAGACCCCTGCTTGAATGAAGAGTATAAATACTCATATGCAGGTTGAAATGAGTGATAAATTTGGACAGAAATAAGTGATGCTATCTCTACACTGCCCAGGCCCCAAATATAACAACTGAGGCCCACAGAGGAGAGAGATCAGTGCTGAAGGCCATTGAGTTGATTGCCTGTCATCTTGCTTAGTTTTCCAAAAGAGTTTTGCCAAATAAAAATCCATCTTTAAGTAAGGCAAGCTACTTTGTTATAAGCAGCTGTTGGAGATTTAGAGCATTTTTACATTTCTTTCCTACTGATTATTTGACTATTATTGGCTCTCTTTATAGAACATTTCTTTATTAATAGAATTTATCCTACTTAGAACCCATAAGAGTTAGTTATTTTAATAAACCAAAGAATTCCAGGAGCCTAATGGAGCTGAAATGGCAAGTGGTCCAAAGAAGCAAGAGTCATGTAACTTTACATGCAAAAAATAGTGGTAGTCTTATGGGTATGCATATTTGTATTCTTTTTTTGGGAGCCAATGGAATTCTACTTCTCCTACCACAAATAAAATAAGCCTGTGGCTTTGGCCATTTCCAAAGCAAAATTGCCCTGATTGCTTTGGATGGCATTTGTGGCAGGTACTGGGTATAAATGATACAAATATTATATACTAATTGCAAACCTGTTTCTGGAAATAGTCTTCTAGAAAGCAGCACGTCACAAAATTGTTCACTTTTTTTTCCCTTTCTGGCAAAAGGTCAAGGAGAAGTAAGAGTTGTGTTTGATTTAAATAGCAGTTTCTCTACTGTTACTAATCTAGGCTAGAGAGAATCATCTGGTTTTTCTATCCAATACAGTTAATTAGACAGGCATGCCATTTACTGGAGAATAATTAATCAATTACTATGGGAGGAGCTTTGGAGAGAACTGTGAGTTGATCACTATTCAGTGAGGGGTAACTGATTGATATGTTCCTTTCTTTATCAACAGATGTTTGGGAATATCACATGCTGTGCAAACACACAGGCACACACTTACACATACATATAGTGAAAGAGATTTCTTTCACTATATGTGAAGCTGAAAGAGATTTCTGTTACCAAAAGACCTGTTAAGACATTAATGGGTTATTCTTGGAGCACATCAGGTTATGGCCTATCTATCCGTCCTGTCATGTAGAACCTTTTCTTGTTTTTATGTGGATTTTCGCTGGGAGGGAGGAGACAGTTTTTGTTTATGTTTCTAAACCCAGTGAGGCCTTAGAATACTGTTAATAGGGTTATCTGTAACATGTTTAAATAAAAGCATTAGGGTGAAAAAAATAGTTGCTTTGCTAGAAGATAACTAATAAATTTGGGTTTTCTTTTGTTTTTCTTCGATTTTTTTAAAGATTTTATTTATTTATTCATGAGAGACAAGGGGTGGGGGCAGAGGGAGAAGCAGGCTCCATGCAGGAAGCCTGATATGGGATTTGATCCCTGGTCTCCAGGATCACGCCCTGGGCCAAAGGGAGGCGCTAAACTGTTGAGCTACCAGGGATCTCCCTCCTCGATTTTTTTTTTTTTTTTTTTTTTAAGAAGCTTCTATTTAGTAAGAAGTTTTGCTGTGACAGGTCAGGCCATGCTTAGATCCCTCTTTGAACCTTTAGGTTATTTAAAATTTCCTGTGACTTGGTGACTCTCTAAAGGCGGTCTCTGTATTTAGGCGCGTGGGCTTCTTTGGGTATTCAGTTAACAAAATGCCTTTGCAAATAGAAAAAGATCTTTCTCGAAGCTTGTGTAATTTGAGAATGCTAAGAGATGAAAACATCAGGAGTTTCTGGAGGGGACACTGGACATTGCAGCAGCCTACTAGAGAGTGGAAGTGTTAGGTAAATGGCTATTTTCTATAATGGTTAATGGATTGACAAGGATATGTGGGCAAATGAGACAGTGACAGAGTGCTGGCAGTAATCTTTCATGTTGATGGTGGTTTCTTCTTGAAATCTGTTGAGAATAGTCATTGTGTCCCTCTGTTTGACCAAGTTAAAATTCCATAGAGATAGTGGATTAGATAAAAGGATTAGGTAAAATGCACTGGCCTCAGGTTAGCTCTATTTAGAACTAGGCTGCCTCAAGATCCGTAAACAGGCTGTCCTTTTGGACTACAGAATGAATGAACAGTGAGATAGGTCAGAATGTAGGCAACCTTTAACCTTTGCGGGCAGCTGGGAAGGATTATGGATGATATGAACCCGTACAACTTAACGCTCATTTTTATATTGGTGTCACCCATCTTACGAAACCAAATTAAAATTAACTTTATCTCCCCCTCTCTGAGCTGAAATAGCGTGTGGATCTCCCACCTCTCCCCTGCAATCTAGAGCATTTTGGGAAATGGACCTTTAATTGCCTAGGTAATAGACTTATCTAAAATATTTTTTCTCCTTCTTTGGAGCCCTGCCCTATTCATCTCAGTTAGGATATAAAGTAAAAGATTCATATGAAGTGAGTTTTTAATTTGTCATTTACCCCCTCACTGTTTAGAATAAAGTCAAAGAAAAGAACTAAGAGAGAAAGTAATTCTTTATATTCATGTCCTCACTTGGCCATAAACTTAATATCACCTCTATAGTTTTTGCTTTTTAAAAATTGAACAATCTTAAAGTTTTTTCATGGTAGTGTTTTAAATGGAGCCTGTGTGGCTCAGTTGGTTAAGCATCTGCCTTCGACTCAGATCATGATCCCGAGATCCCAGGGTCCTGGGATCAAACCCCACATCATACTCCCAGCTCAGCAGGGAACCGCTACTCCTCCTGCCCCTCCCCCTCCTTGTACTCTCTCTTTCTCTCCCTCTCTCTCAGATAAAAATCTTTAAAAAAAATAATGTGAACTTTGCTTGTGAAGTCTTCTATCACAAAAGGGAGCGTAAATATTAAGTGTGAGAATTTGGTGCAATCATTTTTTCTGTTATGTTTCTATGGTTTACCTGTTTTTAAAGGATTATCTGTTGCTGAACCATTCTGTTATCTAGGCCAGAAGCCTTTACTCCAGGTCAGCTCAGATTCAACACCAGATTCTCTGGGTAAGAATATGCAGAGACTATTTGAAATTAGCTATCAAGATGAAAAGGAAAAGAGGGAGAAAACCCTGTACCTTCAATTCACCACTTGAGGTGAAGTTCAATTTTCTGGTTAATTCAAATAATTATAGTGTTTCTAAATTTGAATATAATTATGCACTTTGGGTTTCTTTTGATAGTGATTGGTGTTGACACTACTTGTTCTTTGTTTTCTTGCTCATTTTTCCTTGTATCCCACAGCAAATATTTAAATATCTGTGAGAAGGCCAATCAAGACTAGCAGTGCCCCAAATTGCCCTCTTGAACACTATCCATTAGCAGGGCCTGGGAGAAGATTGGCCCTTCCAACACAGCCTTAGAAGAGGGGAGCATTTTCAACAGCTCTAATGATGTTAAACATACTGTGCATTCAGCCTGCCTGAAATAATCTGTATTTTTGCAAAGCTTAAAAAAAAAAAAAAGGCAAAAGAGCTCTTTTGGCTACTGTATATTTTAAATTAGCCCAGAACTCTGTCCCTTCTCTTGGAGGACTCTTCTTCCAGATACTCATACAACTTGTTCTCTCATTTAAGTTCTTCTCAAAAATGCCATGTTATCAGAGAGACCTTCTGTGACCAGTCTATATAAAACAGAAATAACCAACCCCCAGCACCTTCTGTACGTCCTGACCTCTTAAGTTTAATTTTCCTTTATAACTCTTATTACCATCAGACACAGATACGTATTCTTTTTTTAAAATTTTTATAAATTTATTTTTTATTGTTCAATTTGCCAACATATAGAATAACACCCAGTGCTCATCCCGTCAAGTGCCCACCTCAGTGCCCGTCACCCAGTCACCCCCCACTCCCTGCCCACCTCTCCTTCCACCACCCCTAGTTCGTTTTCCCAGAGTTAGGAGTCTTTCATGTTCTGTCTCCCTTTCTGATATATCCCATTCATTTTTTCTCCTTTCTCCTTTATTCCCTTTCACTATTTTTTATATTCCCCAAATGAATGAGACCATATAATGTTTTTCCTTCTCAATTGACTTACTTCACTCAGCATAATACCCTCCAGTTCCATCCCCGTCAAAGCAAATGGTGGGTATTTGTCGTTTCTAATGGCTGAGTAATATTCCATAATATTCCATTGTATACATAGACCACATCTTCTTTATCCATTCATCTTTCGATG